TTTTCACATTGGTGGTTATGTTTCCTAAACTAGAAAACTAAAGAAGTCAAAACAAAACCCTCTTTATTAAGACAAGAGACCTACTAAGATTAAGATTCTTTAGGAAAATCTTTTTGGGTAATAAAAGGACAAATGTTATATATCACCATCATAGCAATAACTAATGCTTTGTTTCTTTATAAAACTATTTGACTTTACGAAACTACCCCTTAAGTTAAGATAAAATTTCTACCTTGCCCTTCGGTTTTGGAACCACACTTCAACTTGCCTTGTCCTCAGATTCAATTGCTTAGCCAAAGCCATCTTTTGCTTCTGTATTCAACACCAAATAAAAAAGTCAACAAAAGAAGTCAACTTTTAGAAGAAAAATTAACACTAGGAAAATTACGGAAATGCCACTCACCGGATTGAGAGTGCTATGTTCTTTAAAAGTTTCCTCGAGAACCAAAGCTTGTTCTTTAGACAATCGGAGTTTCTTCCTCGAACCATCGTCTCCATTTCCACCACCGTCTTCATCGTCGCTACCGCCACCGCCGAGCGAGCACGAAGTTCTCTCAGCCTCGTGATCTTCCACTCTTCCTCCTCTTCCCACCGCCGCAGCAGCCAATAGCTCTCGCTCGTTTCTCTTCCCACTCATCACGCTCGAGACGGTGCTGTTCGGAGACGATACTCCGGCGTCTTCCTCCAAGTCAGCAACCACCGTCGATGAAGCTCTGTTCACGTCGATTCCCCGGAGAAACGATCTCACCTCGGAGTTTCTCTCTACAGATACATATACGTTACGTTATTTCAACACAAGACAACAAGATGGAAAAAAACTGTAAGAAAATATCGGATCTTAAACTTAAAAGATATACCTGAAGATTGAAACATATGAGTCCAACTGTTCTGAATCTTTTGAGAATGGTTATGATTGCTCTGCATATGCATGTGTGAAGAAGATGAATAAGAAGCAAAAGGCATTGGATTCAACCTCGGAGATGACTCCTTTTGATTAAACCCTAAACCCAAGCTCAAACTTAGCCCCAGTGCATCATCTCTTTCACCCATTTCTCAACAAGAAACAAAAAAAAAACTTTTTTTTTCTTCTTCTTTGGTTTACAAGATTTTTCCCCAAGAAACTGAGTAAATGACTTCTCTCTCTCTCTTAGTTGTTGTGGCACTGCCTCTAGACTTGTGCAACAGTACAGTTTGAAAGATATGGCTTATGTGTGTGTTATGTATATTTATATGCAAAAGAGTTTTTTCAGACAAAGAGATATGGGGTTGTGGGGAGGCTTAGGGTTTCAATGATGACTTGTGTCAGAGAGACCTCTGATACCTCAATGATGATATATACTGCAAAAAAACCTGCTTTTTTAACTTAACCATGGTTAAAAATAAATCCAGGAGTTATTACTTTCACCTCACATCCTTTCTCAACCATGGTTAATTATTAAAAAAGTCCAAGTTTCTTGTTTCTCTCTCCCTCTCTCATTTTCCGTTTTGTAAATTGTAAGTTGTAACTCTTCTTTAATTACATGTGAACCTATCAGGAGCGTTTTCAAAATATCTTAATTAGATTTGTTTATGTATGATTAAAAAAACCAACAAATCTATCCATATTGAGATTTTACTATATCTGGATAAAAATATGATTTCATCTTTTATAAATAAATAAAGAGCTGAATTTGGACTTTAGAAGATAAATTGAACTTTGGAAAGATTAGTAGAGAGTTATAGTATTATTTTATTTACCGGAGTTTCAAAAGTATTTTAAAAATGTAAAGAAAGCTCTTTTTCAAAAATCCACAAGCTTAAAACTTTCATTACCAAAGCGGCTTTCTCGCTCGTTGACCGTTGACCAATGAGAAAGGATTAAAAAGCTGCGGTTTGAAAAACATACCAGACGGTAGACTCCACGCGCTGGGTGGTGTTGCGGTGAA